TCACTTTGAAGCAATGTTCAACAAAATGTTACAAAACCACAGTAAAAGATATTAAGAGTAGGGACAAGACCCCGTTTTCAATTCAACTGCGCAGATTTACTTGTCCCTATGTATATCCTTAACTGTCCCTAACAGCACAAACGTCAATATGTCGACTGTAAAGGCCTAAACACAATGCCAGGCAATAGCGATAGTATAGCGATAGGAATAATATAGAAATAAGAGAAAGCAACCATGTTGTGATCGCTATCATGTCTTGCTCTGCAGACAACATTTGAAATACGGGTCCATTACCCGTTTTTGACACACTCATGTATTGATATAAAAATATGTGACTCGATTTAGAATGATCATATTTTATCTTTTTTACTACAGAGATCCCGTTGCGTCAATAGTCATAAATGATTGAGGATCATTCTTATAGTGCAATTTATACAATAAGTTTTGTTCTTTCGTCCAATAGTGACAAAAAAATGGAAAAACACCAATTTTATGTATCGAACCTACCCTAACAGCACAAACGTCGATATGTCGACTGTAAGTTGACTTTGCTAAGTCAGGCCTTTAGAGTTGACTGTAAGTCGACATTGTACAGACGTCTTTTAAATATCGACTTTAAGTCAACTTAAAGTCGACATTGTCAAAAGGCCTGCAGAAAATATATAATATATATATATTCGTAAGATGTCGCTGCAGCATGCATGCACGCACGATGCAGAAATAGCGGGAGTCTGTGGGAGTCTGTTAGAAAGAATTAAGCTGAATAAAGAATTTAGAAACGATATTATTAAAGGGAACATCAGTGGAGTGCAACTATGGTAATGTATTTTTGTGTAAAAACATTTTTATGTATTTAATTATTAATTAAAGACATTTTAAAATTGGAATAACGCGCATATAGTCAGAGCCGGATTTTATAGGTTAATTATTTATCGAGCGTTTAATAGATAATTAGAAAACCTGAAAATGTCCAAACAATTTTCTGAGTTGTCGAAACGTCAACAAAATCGGCGAACTTTACTTTATTACAATAGAGATCGTGTAGCCTCTCAGTCGGTTTCACTTTCAAATGTTGACAATAACTCAATCGATGGTCCATCATATTCATCGGCCTTCGAATTTGAAGAGCCTGAGATTGAAGATGGCATGATGGAGGCCAATCATTCACAATCTTCAACTTTACCAGATAATTCGCAACATTCACATTTATCAGAAACTGATATTAGTCACAATGACAATGCCAGTAGTGTACTTTCATCATCAGAGATAAGCAGTGACGAATTTCAAATCAACTCACAATATCAGCAGGAAAATATACATTTGCCTTTGGCAGATGAACTGTGCAATTGGGCAAATGAATTTCAAATTAATCAAAATGCATTAACCTCATTATTACGAATTCTTTCAAGACACGGGCATGACGACTTACCTCGGGATGCGCGAACACTTTTGAACACCCCAAGACCAGGTACTCATGATGTTAAAACTCTTTCTAAAGGTGAATACGTTCACTACGGTTTATTAAAAGCATTTATATCAATTGATAATCGTTTTCCTCATGCTTTCGACTATTGTGATGTAATTTATTTGGATTTGAACATCGATGGCTTACCAATTTCGAAAAGCTCAAAGAGTCAGCTTTGGCTAATTTTAGGCAGAATTTCTGGTTTGCCATTTGCACCATTTGTCATCGGTGTTTATCATGGCTACCAGAAAGCTTGCTTAGCCGAATTTCTTCAACCATTTGTGGATGAATATCTGAATTTCAAAAACAATGGATTCTCAATCAACGAACATCCCCTGCAAATCAATATCCGTGCTGTTATCTGTGATGTTCCTGCTCGAACATATGTTACTTGCACAAAATCGCATAATGGACACTTTGCCTGTGGAAAATGCACTGTAAGGGGCGAGAGCATAAACAGACGAATGACTTTTTTGGATATCACTGCTCCACTTCGGACCGATATTGATTTCATTAACAGGTCGCAACCAGAACATCATCTTCAAGGTATTTCTTCGCCATTTGAATTGATTTCTGTTCCAATGGTAAGTCATTTTCCTATAGACTACATGCATAATACCTGTCTTGGTATAAATAAGCAACTTCTAAAGTTATGGATAGATAGGTCGAAAACTTCCAGAGTAGCTCAAGTTCATCTTAACATTTTGTCAAATGCACTGACAAATGTGTCAAAGTGTATTCCAACAGAGTTTGCTCGAAAATCTTTTGACTTGGATGATTACCACAGATGGAAAGCGACTCAACATCGCACTTTTCTTCTTTATTTAGGACCACTAGTTCTTAGATATGTACTACCGGATGAAAAATATATACATTTTAATGCTCTGAATTGTGCAATGAGAATTTTATGTAGCATTGACGATTATGACAGGAATAACGGATATGCACATGATCTTCTGGTATATTTCGTTCAAAACATGAGCATTCTGTATGGATCACAGAATGTTACCTACAACATGCATAATTTAATACATTTAGCTGCTGACGTAAAAAGATTAGGACCCCTAGATTCTTTTAGTGCTTTCCCATTTGAGAATTTTCTTTTTATTCTGAAAAAACTTCTCAGAAAGTTTGATAAACCATTGCAACAGATCTGTAACAGGTTACACGAGCAATCCTCATTATTTCATGCTGAAAATGAACGATTTTATGACCATCAGTATCCTCAGCTGCAGAAAAAGATCAATCAAAACTTACCATTGGGTTGCTATAACGCACACAATCAGATAAAATTTTCTTCGTTTGTCTTGACAACGAAAAAATATAATAATTGCTGCTACATTGAAGAAAACAATGCCATAAGCATTGTTTGTATTTCCCATATTGGTTATTATCGTGAAATTCCAACGATTATTGGTCAAAAGTTTACGAATATTTCAACGTTACCTAATTATCCCTGCGATTCAGGAAATTTAGGAATATATGTTGTTACAGGCTTATCGGCCTTGCAAATGTGGCCAGTTTCTTTAATTAAAAATAAAGCGTTTCAAATGGATTTTGGAAATAACTCAACATACCTTGTATTTCCTTTATTACATAACGAATTTTAATCTCAATTAAAATGAAAAGTAAAATATACAGTGAGTACAAAAAGTATTCGTACAGAGAAAATATTTTTTTAAAAAATTATTTTAAAAAATTAAATATTATCCAGCGAGAAATGAGTCATCGAATTGATGTCGAATCGATATCGATATGATGGTTTCAACACCAATTTGACGTCGATTCGACGTTTAATTGATGATCTTTTCTTGCTGGGTAATTAACAATTTATTCATAAAGTATAAAATAGATTGTATGTTTCTTAAAATTATATATACCAAAAAGATGTGTATTAATTGTAGAAAATATATCATCTGAAAAATAAAACGAAAATTAAAAGTTTCATGGTTTGAATGCTTAAAAAATATTCGTACAATCGAGAAATTTAGCTTATAATATTAGAAATACATGTGAAGCTCATTTGTATATGTTAGAACAGAATATATTCATTGTATAAAATTGCTAATTAGTGATTATTTTCCACAAATAAGACTTTTTATAAAAAATTTTCTTGTACGAATACTTTTTGCTCTTACTGTACATATAATACATTGTACATATGTTGTTAAAATATAATAGTTTTGACAGAAAATTTATTAACAGTTTGATCTTTGGAACATTGTAACTGCTATTTTCATATAAATCATTATTTCGTATAAATAAAGAATGAATCTATTGATACTGCTCTGTGAAATTGTTATTTGTGAAGGTATGGTACGTTGTTATTGGCGACGACTGGTGCTCCATAGTTCCCGATTCATGGGTTTTTGCAAGTGAGTCGATGATTTGGTGGCCACCGAAAGGTATCAATGCCACTACAGCACTGTCAAAGAAAATGCAACCCAGCGATACATGGACTCTAACTCCATACAATCAGCTCATTGGCCCAATTGGTGAGTTACATTTAATATTCCTGGTGAAAACTTGTCTCAGAATTTTTCATATAATTTTTCAGAATTTCTATATAATTTTGCAAAATTTCTGTATAATTTTATAACTTTCTCATATATTTTTATACAAATTGGAACACTTCTCAGAAAATCTTTTCTTAGAATTTTCCATATATGGTAATTATGAAATATCATAAGATTTCTAAGATTTTTTGTAAGTATATGTTATAAAATCTAAAAAATTTTAAAATATTTTTTTTAAATCATGAGATGAGAAATCTAAAAATATTTCAGAATTCACATGTATGAAAAATTCTGAAAGAAAATGTGAACTTTCCGAAAATTTCTGAATATTTCTGAAAAATGTTCCAATTCGTATAAAAATTATAAGAAAATTTTTCACCAAGGATACCTATAATTATGAATGTTACATTAGGTGAGTGTTCGATTTATAATGATTTTTAATGATAATTGGACACAAACTTTTGCACTCACCTAATATTTGAATTTCATTAGATTATTGTATTTGACAGATTCATACATTCGTGCATTATGAACTGCAAAGTACGTAACTTTTAAATATTGTACATCAATTAAAAATAATGCATTACGTACATTTATTACATGTGTTAGGGTACGTATCCACTGAGCGCGTCACGCGTCGCGTCATCCACCGAGTCACGACGCGACGCAAAAGAGAGAAAGAGAGGGGTATAAACCTTACTCTTTCTCTCTTTTGCATTGCGTCATGACGTGATGGACGACGCGACGCGTGACGCGCTCAGTGAGTACGTACCATTACATTGTACTATTATTGAACAGATTCCTATCAAGAAGCTCGGCAAATCGAAAAAAAATCAGTAAATATTTCATCGGATGCTGACACTGATACCATGCGTGCTACATTTGAAGAGCCATTGAAACGGTCGCAACAAGTCCGAGAAGTCTCCTCCGATGACTCTGTTGCCTCTAATGACAGTTCCTGTAAATTAAGAAAGAAACTACTTTTTTATATATTTGATATATGTATTTGTAATTATATATTAATATATCAATTTCTATATTGCAGTTAATAAGTTACCAATTTCCAAGCAACGTAAAGGTAAGAAATTATTTACAACTCGCCAAAAACACTATTTAAAAATGTAATTAATTGCTTATAATATAATAAATTAAAGTTGCTTTGCATGAGTTAATCTTACATTTTTATTTATAATACTATTTTTAACTTTATTTTAAATTTTGTAGATCCACAAAAAAAAATTTGTCCGATGCCTCTTCCAAACTGTTCGTATATATCAAAGGAACGATGCGGAGGTGGAACCAAGGCATTACAATCGCAATTAAGTAGTAAGCGTGCATTCTCGCCAGACTGCCAACAGCCTGGTAAGTTTAGATGAAGCTAATTATTTCATAATATTTTTAAATCTTTCATGACTGATTGTGTATACTTTTGTTTGTGTGCAGTAAACTCTACTTCGAAACAGATCAATGATTCGAAAAGTATGAAAAATAATTATCTCATATCATTAACACTGCCATATATGTATCTCCTATTTGTAACTTTATTTAAATTTCTGTAGAAACGCAACAAGAGTCTACGATAGAAATTCTCGGCATCTCATCTATCAGCCCTGGGAAGGTCAAGTCAATGGAGCGTCATCAGGAGCGACACGATAAACATTACCTGTCTGATATACAAGGTTGGTTAAGCCCTGTGTCCACAATCCCATAGCTTATATCAATCTGGAGACACTGGTAGTGTCTCGGCGCTAAGCCAAAGCGCAGCGACACTGCCGTGGCTTTACGCGAACTGAAGAGTTGCCTATATGTACACAGTATCCAAAACTTAGGGCCGCAGCACACACTTTTGCATAAACCGTATACATAAGGAATTTGATTGGTCCATTTCCTTATGCATGACTTAATGGACCAATCAAATTCCTTATGCATACGTTTTATGCGTTATGCAAAAGTGTGTGCTGCGGCCTTTACTAAGAAAAAAATGAATCTATTACCTATGCCTTTAAAATTTACTAGCCTATATTCTGGCAGAAACACACACGGTTTAACAGCAGTTGAAACGAGTGAAATATATACTTTTATGTACAAAATTCCAAGATAACTATAGTTTCTGCCCATTTGTAGGACTTTCATAAGTACGAGACAAGTCGCATTTTCACAATTAAGCAAATAATAACGAAATGGCATCGTGCACAAATTTCATCGTCAAAACATCACTGTTCTACGCTTGTAAGTTCAGCCATTTATCGTGGCGAGGCTCGTGCTTGTGTGTGTTGCTACTGATTTCGCCACATTTCGCTAGGCTGCCGATTGATTTTGAATCACATGCTGACTACTCAGGAGCCTTAATAACAATTTCTTAATATTGAAATGTATTGGAAGAATTACGATCGCATGGATGCGTATATAAACTTGGTTTTTTTTATTCTTTCTTACAATGATTTGTTTGATCATCCAAGGTTTATAACGTTTAAATTTGTTATGAATGGCATCGTTCTATCTTCATTTATCCCGAATACGATCATCTTAATGCACAGAAATTCTGATTAACAGCACAATTGGATCTTTCTAATATGTAGTATACATATTAATAAAATATTTGATTTTCAGACTTACCTGGTTCACAACGGTTCGACGTTATAGAAAATGAATCCTCAACGAGGAATCATAATAATTGCTGTGGTAAGCAAATAATTTCTTACAAAGAAACATTACTGATTGATTAATAGTTCGTCTCTTTCTCAATATTATATTTTTGTTATATTTATATTTTATATTATATTTTTAAACAAAAATATGTGCAATTCAAAAACTTATAATACATAAAAATTATTTTAAGTAAATGCACATCACAAACTCACTCTCCTGTTCCTATAATAATAAATAATGAAAAACAATAGTCAATACTGGTAATATCGTTATTGTGATATTAGACAGATTTGACTTTATTAAAATATTAATAGTTATTAATGTTAATTCAGTTTTTGTGTTTCTTCATATCATTACAGGTGAATGCAGAGACTACACCCGTAAAGAACTGAAAAGATTGTCCAGACAAATGTACGCTATTGAAGCTCTACTAAAAGAGGGGAATGCAGGACGAAGCGATGAGGTTGTAGCACAAGATCTGTTACCTCCATTGCCTCTAATGACGCTTAAACAGTTTTTGCAGTGCGAAAATCAGTTAGAAGTGAATACCAACATGAGAAAACAATTTGTAAGTATATTCATATTGTTTATTAAATATTGCTTGTATTGCCCGTTAGGAAAATTGTGTTTTCTCAGAAATTTACTCGCCATCTTATAACTTTTGAATTTCGCCATATTTAATTTTTCGTGTATCATCAAGAACTTTTTTTTATTTATATGTATTAAATTTGGTAATTTTATATTGAGCATTATTGAAAATAATTTAATATAATATTAAAGTATGATATGACATAATACAAATAGAGATTAAGTGGCGAAATTGCATAAAAAGATGTATGATAGTCGGTACCAAATTAACCGTCGACTGAACATGTTTTCAAATACGTGTACCTCATTTTCGCTATTGTATATACGTTTCTTCCATTCGTAATATTCCATTTATATATATTTTTTGTAACTATATTACAAGATCAAAATTAAAAAGGGCCTTTTTAATTTTGATATTGTTTTATACTTATTGAACCTTCTAATTACTTATTATATTACAGGAATACATGATATGTCGAATCGGAGGTTCGACGGGTAAGCACTTTATTAGAAATACTCTCTCACAAATTATCTCTAATGAAGTAGCCACTCAAATATCATGGACAGGTCAGAAGAGTGATGTAAGCTTTAAATCCACATCCATATCCAAACTAATAATCGGTAACATTTATTCCATTATACCTACTTTCCTATAACCACAAGGTTTAAAACATTTTTGTGATATTGGAAACATAGCCTTTTGCGTGCAAAAGGCTATGTATATTTATATTAAATCTAAGCTGCATACCTATCTAAATCTGGTCGCACATATGAACACGCTGTATATTACTAATTCTCTTTCTTAAATCTCTTCATTACTTTCCATATTTGGTATTTTTAATTATTTGCT